CCCATATGTCCGCCCTACACAGTTCCTCAAGTTGTCTAATAAATCCCGACACTTGTCATAGCCCGGAACGATTATACGCTTTTTATAAAGTGAATAACTTCCCCTCGGCGATTGCTGTGTATATATTTCATGAAACGTTATTAGGGGTCGGGGCAACCCGACATCTCTCCCCCCTCACAATTATGGGGCTGATGGTGTTGAAAATTGATTTCCTCATGACGGATTTGTAATTTGAATTTGGGGTGGAGCGACACCTTCTTCTATAATCGCCCGTTGTAACAATTCAGATAGGCTATATATTAAGAATAAATTTATGTATATTTTGTTATTTGACCTTAAGACTTCAAAATGTTTACAGTTATCCAAATGCATAATGTAAATATTTATAAATGTTAATTAAACATATATTCTGTCTGTATATGAACATCTGTGTACCAAACTTGGAAATATCGTGTAGAATATCCATAGATGTATAAAATAATTTTAAAAGGTTTAACAAATGTCAATGATAATTGTGAAATATGTGTTATATCTGAATACAACTCTGTCGATTTTATCGGACAAGAAGATGAATAGTTAACATGGAAATGTTTCGCCAATTCAAGCACCATTACCATAGAATAAACAGAAACTCATGCATGGAAAATGAAAAATAAAAATGGAAGAAAAAACCTTGAAAAGGTTGAAAAGAAAAGTGTGCTTTAGACCAAATAATATAAGTGAAAATATCAGTAAGCCCAGATTAATAGTATGAAATATAAATTATAAATAATATCTCATTATAAAGGAAATGGAACGGTGAACATTTTCATCGCTTACAATATGCAAGTCCGATTTTTAGTTACTTTACATCTTCTATAAAGCTCGATATCATTTAGTTTTCGACACAATTTTTTTTTTTTGCCTCTTTAACACGGTGACAAGTTAAGAAATAATTTCAAATAATAATCCATTGTAATGAGAATCCAATGGTGGACAATTCCAACGATTAAATCATCCAGGTCTGATATTTAGTTTCTGCGACATTTTAATCCACATCTTCAATAAAATTCGTCATCATTCGGTTATCGACACTATTTTTCCCTTTTCGCCTCTCTAACATGGTGTCGCTTTAAGACCAAATTTTAAATAATTGTAGATTACAAAGAGGAAGAAATGTTGAACATTTCTCTCTTTAACAATATATAGGGCCGATTATTAGTTTTTGAGATATTTTAATCCAAATATCCAAATTTCAAACAAAAATACTTGAATTAATCGTCTCCAGCCGACATTACTTAAGCGTTAAACAATCAGAAGATCTGACATCTCAATCCACTTCACTCTCCCATAAAAAATGTCCCTAACTCGCCCAAAACGCGCCTAAAGCATTTTTCACTTCAAAAATTATAATAATGATATGACCCATTCTTATGAACATAGTGGTCTTTTTTATGACAATTATAGTTACTTAATGTACATTTTTTTTTCGCAGCCGGAGATTTTTGTTCATGCAGATGAAACAATTATTTTTTCTGAGAGTCGAAGATTACCAATACCGTTTTAGATATAAAATATCAAACAACAATTTTTTTTTGTGTGTGTATTTTTTTTTGTGTATTTCCACTCACCGATTTTATTTTCAAAGGACAGAAAAAAAAGAGGAAACTTATAATCCTATTTGGCAGTGTTATGTGATATTGGAGTGAAATATGGAATGTTTATTTAATGTATCTAGATTTTTTTAATTAACTGTTTTACGTAATATGCAACACCATACAGAGTAGCTCAAGCAGTAAGGCACTAAACTCCTAATCTCAAAGACCCAGATTATAATGTGGCGTAGAAAATTCTTTATTTCGTTTCATCAGCCGTGAATCGACCCGGAGGCACAGCGAGCTTCTATAATGTAGATACCCTTAATTTATTAATATATTAAAATGTAAAACATTCTTTTTTTTTATTTTTATCCTTTATGGGTTATAGGATAAAAAAAAAATTTCAAATCTTTATCAATTAATAAATTAAGGGTACCTACTTTATAGAAGCTGGCTGTTCTTTATGGGTTGTAGTGTACCGTATGCATGTGTTTTAGTTGTTATTTTTATAAATTTATTTCTTTTTTACTTTCCTACCTATACTAGATAAGGAAAGTATTGATATCGGATCAAATTTCAGATTTGCGGTATTGGACGAATCTATAAGTTTTAAAGCCGAAAACACATTTTTAGCCATTGGTCTGTCTGTCTGTGCCAAGATTTTCGACTACTAAACCGATTTTTTTACTCTTTTTTATTTTGTAGGGTGTTGACTACTGATGCCAGTGGCACAAATTGGATGCTCTTGGATGCTGATTTCTTTGATCAATTTTCATAAAAATACATCTAATTCAATGTTTCTTTATGGACATTTGTAAAGATATAAAATCTTTTCTGGAATAGGTAGGAAAGTCGTGTGAGTGGACACACCAGATTTTTTAATTACATTTACTTTTAGTATTATTATTTTATGTATTATTTATTTTTATTTATTGTAAATGCAGTGTGAATCTGCTCTCTAAACACTATTATTATAAATGTCCTTAATTGTGAAATATTGTAATGGTTCAGAATATATAAATAAAAATAGGGGTTAAATTTCTTTAAAAGCAGAAGTAATAAATAAAGATAATAACTATAAAATATTTGATGTATTTAAAATATCCCAACTTATACAGTAACTGTAACAGTACTTTTTTTTTTATTTCGGATTGAAGATACCAAAGATATGGCGCATTCAAATTAAATTGCCACATTAAAGTAAGCTCGAAAAAATATCCCTTTAGGCAGGCCATTGGCAAAGCCCAAAAGCCGTTTTTTCTTATAACCGTGTAATACCGATTCCGACAGGAGAAACGAATGAAAACTCTTTTATCTTTAGCTTTCCGGAGCTATCGTATTAATTCCATGAAGGGTTCCATGTTGGGTATTCAAGTTAAAAAAAAGTGTTATTAAAAAAAATCCACCCCCTTTGTTATAATCGGATTTTCCCGCCCCCTCAAGTAATGGGAAAAGAGCAGAAGAGAGAGAGAAAAAAAGAACAGGAATAATCCCGAAGGATGAAAAGAGCGTGGAAATTAAAATGATAATGGTTATAAAGAGGGGATTGATAATGGATTGTTTGAAGGCGATAGGCGATAGGTCTCCCATTAGCTGACTCATTGGGACTGGACTCTAATCCTTGCAGGGTGCGATGTTCGCACATACTGAGCAGCCAGTCAGAGTAAGAACTATCTTTTGGCTCGATGAAAAATTGCTTATTCCGTAGAAACCAGTGGCCAACCTTATCTTCAAAATTCGCTAAATGGGGAAATCCTATTATGAACGAATTATTTTATAATGAAAGAATGAGAAAAAAAATCATTCTTAATCGAATTCAATGGTGTATAAGTCTCACTGTTTATATTAGTCGTTCTTCAGAACTACATGCTAATGTTCATCACGATATTTCCCCGGGTTAGGTTGATACTCTTCAAACAATGAATTTATAATATTAGCATTTTATTTTAAAATTCTTTCAATTTATTTTTCTTAGCTTCTTGGGCGCATGAGCATGAGTACTCGGGCATAAATAATATTTTTCGAGTCATTATTTCTAAAAGAAGGTTCATTAAATTGCATTCACTCACGTCCGTAACTTACCGTGCGGGTAGTTTTGTGACAGATGTATAATAAGTATATTCACCTTACATCTCGTTTACTATTTTTTACTTTCACTTACGTAGTTATGCAATATATAGTAAAGGTACGTATTTCGATCGAGAACATTTTAGAATGAGTTTTCAACGGAAATACACGTTTTGGGGTACACTGAGTTCAAAAAATTGTCTGTGTGTTTATATCGGTTTATGTTAGCAGTCTAGCTCAAAAACGAAAAGTTGTACGAAACTGGTATTACGTATTTAAGATAGGTTGCCTTAGATGTGACAGCTACTTTCTCCTTAAAATTTGCTAAACGGCTAACACATTTTTTACAATTTTCTCAAAAACGGCTCTAACTATTGTTTATTATTATTATTTTTTTTTAGAATATTAAAACGGAGATGTATAAAGTTAAAGAATAATTCGCTCATTATATTGGTCAGTGTCCGAATGGTAATATCCTAATATGAAAATAAGTAAATCCATTTTTTTCGGCCAATAACTAGGGTGTGATTATTAAAAGCAGTGAATAAATTTATAAAAAAATCTATTGTTTAAATAAATTAGTGCATATTTTCTGGTACAAATTGATTAGTATCTGAGCCTTTTCCCCTCCCTTGAAACCTATACCTCATGAATACTACGTGCTTGTCAAATCCTATTGTGAGTTCTTTTTAATATTAATTTTTTCTCTCCTAAAACAATAGAATTCCTACGTATTATTCATGAATTTTGACATTTTTTCTTTATATCACGGATAGTTGATGAAATCACATGAATAAATGAAATAATTATTTAATAATTGAATACGTCTTTCTTTAACCAGTATGCCATCAACTACGGACAGTGTCACTCGTAAATAATTAATACAGGTAAAAAAGACCTTTCTACCTATTCCAGAAAAGTTTTTATAACTTTACATATGTCCATCAAGAAACAAAAAAAAAATTAATTAGATTTATTTTCCTAAAAATTGATCAAAGAAAAGATTTGAGTACGATTTATTTGATAAACTAAAGCAATGTAAACCGGCTTAAAGCAGATCAGTGTAAAAATTTCAATACCCTTTAAATACTGAAGCATCCCATCCCCTCTCTTTAAAATCTCCATTCCTCATTCTCTGTATTAATTTCTTTACCAAATAATATAAAATCATTGACGTGCTTACAAGACATTTCTAACTTTGGTCCTTTTTATATAACGGATCTTTCTAATGGCATAATTCATTGCTTAATTAAATAAAAATTGTGGAACACAATTGCCATCTTTTGAATCTGACATCGAACTTTGGTTACATTAATAAAAATAACAAAATAAATACATAATATTATTGTTAGAACATTATGAATTATTTAAATGAGTCGTGGCAATGAAGAACTCGGAACAATCATGTTCTGACATTGACAGCTTGGCATGATGGACTCGAAAAATCCTCTCAAGTCTGAATAGGCCGCAAAACAAACTTGTTGACTGGCCATTGTGACAGACATAGTTCATAACAAGAGCCTGGGGCGACGAAAGCTGACAATATGGGATGCAGATGCCGCTCCTGGAGTGTGACAACTCAATTGTAGCGCGGGCGGTGTCCCGCAGGGCCTCTCTTGTTCTCCTAGTTCCGCTCTTTTCTACTCTTTTTTCCCCTGCCTGTATCCCTCCGGATTTCCTCGGATCTACTACACCGAGTGAGAAATCCAATTGTATATTAATGCCCGCCATATGGAAGAACATGCTGTAGATGGAGATAATAGAGACTGAGAAATATATTCCATATGCCACCTCCCCCTGGGGCAGCCTCTTAAGTAAGTATGATTGAATCGGGACTCCTTCATGCTCCCTGGGGTGCGGGTCCAGTCGCCTCCAGCAGGAAACATCCTCGCTCTTCACTAATAGCATTCTTCTTTCCATTACTCGGATAAAGAAATTGATCCTATCCGGTTCAGACAATGGTAGAAAATGCATTATACAACCATAAAATAAACTTGGTTAGACGAGGAAAATAAAAATACTTCACACATTTATGATATATTTATATTGTAATAAACTGCATGCATAATAAGAAGAAGTGATAAGTAAAGTAGTTAAAAGAATATTAATATTTTTAAAAATATAAACTGCATGATTTCCCATAGGCTATCTTCACTGTCTTAGTTTACAACGGTTATGCTGGAACTGCAGCGTACATATTCTATCAATGTATTTTTTCGTTTAATTTGTTGGATTCTCATCAAATTATTATGAGTAATATCCATCTTATTGATCTAGAGAAGAAAATGTAATGTCTATATAATACTATATTTTATTTGAGGTGAGAAAAAGGATTAGAAAAGAATATAATTAAATTATGGGTAGTTAATACTATAAAAATACATTAAAATAAAAGAAACAAAAATAATATGATGTTTGTTTATGTTCGCAAATGTTGTATTACATATTTCTATTATGATATATTGGTATAAGGAGTGGCCAGAAGGTGGTTGCAAAACCCAAGTTGCACTATTAAACATTTCTTTTTTTTTTTATGGTTATGGAGCAGCACATTCTGGTTTCTTTTTTGAACAACTCTCAAACCAGAGAACAAGGGGAAAATATAAAACAGGTCCCGAAAATTGTAAATGTATATGATCAACAATTATTTAAATCAAAGATGAAAATAAAAAAGTTTCTTGGGATGAGGGTGGAGGGTTGCCATTTGCCTCGGATCTTGGGAGGGATAGGTACCTCTGATGAGTATGATGTCTGATGTATACACCTGATAAATTTGGGTCATATTATTCATTTAATAAAGTATTTCTTTCTCTTTCTGATAAGAAGATATGTGAATAATTCTATTTCTTAATTTATGAACTTATGAAAACGGATTGATACTGGAATCATTTTTTTTTTTTTAAATTGTAGTCCAAAATGGTATTAATATAACATATGGAAATCCTAATTCGTAAGGTCTATTGGAATTTTATAGTTGGTATCCAAAAGTAAATTAAGCTGTTTCTTGTTGAAAGCTTGCCATATCCTTTGATGTTAATGCTATAGGTCATTGGTATTAAAATGATGTAGATGGAATTATGGATTTTTTTTTTATCAGTCTTGGTCATGGTCTTGCAACAGTTAGGCATCTTGGTCTTGGTCTTACTCTTTGCAAGACCAAGATCAATTTTCGACAACACTATTTCAAACATACCATAGATGCTCAGTTCTTCCGAAAACTGCCTAAGACAGAACTGCCAAACAAAGTCATTACTTTCTTGAAGACATAGAAAATGTCAGCCCCTCTTCCATATCTGTTGGTAGGTTTACATCCTTTGCAAAACCGAGCGATTAGCCATTCATGAGGACGGTAGAGGAGGCTGCGATATTAAAGAAGGAAGGAAAGCAGTATATCTCAGGTCTGGAATAAAAGCACACTAAAAGAGGCAGGCCTTCATCAATATGGATACACAGGTCTCTTTTATAACCAGTCCTCCCTCGCTTGTCTAGTTTTATTGTTTGTGTTTCTGCCTCTGAGCGCGCAACTCCTTCTTGTCGATCGTAAGCTCCTGCGGTCTTCGGGTCGGCTTTGGAATAGTAAGCTGGTCGGGTCCCTGAGGTCTAGGATAGATTGCGTAATCGTTGCTGTGGTATAGACTGATATGAGATTATACTGCACTACATTACGACATGAAAAGGGTCATTTTATTTTAAATAAAATGAAATGAAAAATAATTTTATTCTGGGACTAAAGTCCACTTAGAATAACAGCAGTATCAGTCTGGGATGCCGATATAATACAGATATATATATAATACTAATAAAAAACTACAAATGCAAAAAATCAACTGGTCAAAAATGAACTAAGAACTAAACCTGAAGTTTCTATTCATCAGTTTAATTGTTCTATTGATGATATTTAATAAAACCAAGAACGGTGTTTACTGTCGCCGTTGACGATCATTCCGTTTTTCATTGTCACTGAATCCCATACTTTGTCTACGACATTTGAATTCATAATAAAACAATTTGTCAATTTCGAATTTGATACTTTCGAATTAGTAATTTTGCCGCCAACTACGTTAGCCTGGTTAGAAATCACTGAATTCGAGATAATTGCGTTTATAGCTCGGCTATTTTTATTGAGTACGGTATTTGTCACAGTGGAATTCAAAACTGCGAAGTTCTCCAATTTGCTATTGGTCACTCTAGAACCTTCACACACTGCGCTTTCGATGACCACGTTGGACAAAGAGCAGTCATTAGCTTTCAATAACCGGATGACAGAGTTGCGAATGGAGGACCGACAAAGATCGGAAACGCCGATGACGGAGAGGCAAGAGGCCGAGTTGTCCGTCAAGTTGGAGAACATGACCTTGGAATGGCGGACGGTGGAGTAATGGACGCGCGACAAGTAGACAGTGCTGTTGTTACCTGGGTCGGTGCAGGGGCAGTTCGGGGAGACGTCGATCTTGGAATTGACGACTTCCGAATTGTAGACCCTGTTGAAGTAGTAGCGATCGCTGTCGCGGAACACGTCAGCAGTGCTCGTCCGATCCAGTTCGGTGTCGTGGTACGTGGCGTTGAGGATGGAGCCCTTGATGGTGGAGTTCCCGATTTGAGAGTAGGCGATGGCGGAGCCCTCAGCCGAAGTATTCAGTAGCGCCGACCTCTCTAAAGAGCTCGAGCTCACTTCGGAGTAGGTGATCTTGCACCTCCGGTAGGTGGTGCCCGCCACGGCACACCTGGTGATGATGGAGTCGTCCGGAGCGGCCCCCAGCACCGCGACGGAGCACGCCAAGAAGGGTAACAGCAAAGTAGAGATCATCTTTCAGTCAGCTTAGCGATATCACTGCGGCTGCTTCCGTGTCCTCGCTCTATTTATACATCCGCGATTGATCGTGACGCTAGTCGGCAAACAGCTCCATAATCATTAGCCGAAGAATATCCTAGCCAGAACCGGGGACATCAACACGCGCTCGACATGGTTGTTTAGATAAACTAAAACCTTAGAACTAATGAATCGTGCAAATGACAGACTGAAAAATCTTTTTTATCTAAAATGAATTCATTTTTCTATTTCAGTTTGGCGTTGGTATTCTGTGATTTATACTAACATTAATGCATTGATTAGCTGTTGTAGTCATTTTCTTCTTAATTTACACAACTGATTGAGCTTAGAAAGTGACTTGTTAGTCTCAGGACTTACCTCATCATAATACGATCGGAGTTGGTCCCTATTAACTCGCTCACCTGGTTAAAGATTTATATGTGTTCTTTAATTTCATTTACGCATATATTAATTTATTATTTATTTATGGCTGTAATATCTCTACTCCGAAGGGTACATTTCTTTTATTTCTAAATTCGATGGTAAAACTTTACAACTGTATTAAATGATAAATAAATCATGAAACAAGTCACATGACATATACTTCATAAATAGAAACTACCCATTGGTAGCACTCGAATTATATTTCTATATTAGAAGGTTCCGAGGCCATCTTCTTTTCAGACGCCTCGGAGGATTATCAGGAATATATGAGGAAGCAATGTTGGAAACAAGAGGGTTCGGATGGTTCAGAAGTTTATTATGGAAGGAAATGTATCTGGATTGAGCTTAATCGGAAACATATGGTACATTAAGGTCGTTATGGATGATTTTATTTGTGACAAGGTAGGGAGGATTGAGAATTTTGGATTGTAAGGATTGGATGCGAGAGAAATTTGATGGTTTAGTAGAGTACCAAAGCTCGATTCCGTAAGTCCAAATAGGCCTTATTATAGTAATATATATAAGTCTTTTGTAAATAGTTGGAAGTTTAGAGCGTTTGTCTAGTAAGTTACACAGATAAACGCAGCCAGTAGTCGAAAACGTTAGGGCTGTTTCTAGTCGTTTCTATCTAGTATGAGGGTATGGTAAAATTTAATTCTTTTTAAGATTTCCATAAGTGATTTCATGCCAGTTTCTAAATGTTCTCTGGTTTTGTAGCAGCCATCTTCAGTTTTATTCTTGTGCGTGAATACTGCTGGCACACTATCAGTACACGGGTAACTGTCATAAGCACACATATAGAGGCTTCCAGACCGCGGATAATACAGCCACGGATGAACTCGCACACGATATTATTTCTTCTCATGTTGATCCTCTGCAGTTAATTGATTAATTAATTGATAGTAGTTGTTTATAATTTAATTTTTTTTCTCGATGCATCTTCATTAATCATCTGCGATTTCATTTGTCTATCATAAATAACATTCTATTAAAAAAAAAAAAAAAAATCTAAAAATGACGTTTTCCCATCACTTCATGAAATTTTCATCATAGCACAATGATTTTTGCACAAAATGTTGAAAAAAAATGTACAGAATGAGTTGAAAATACATCAACATATCTATAAAATGTTACAGCAATTATCAAGTCAAACTTGCGATTCATGAATATTTTAAAGAATAAATTGTTTTATATTTTATAATTAATCCTCAAACTATGAACTAATGGGATCTGCAACATGAAAATTGGTTGTATTTAATGCTAACATAGTGAATTTTTTTTTTTCAAATACCCCAATCTCGCTTTTTGTGTAAGGCATAAGCGGGAGGGGAGGATGATTGTTCTAAAGGTACTACCAAACATATTATAACCAGAGTGGGAAGGTTAAGATTCATTCCGATTGTCCTCCACGAAATAAATTTCAACCCGTCAAGGCCGGATTCTAACCGGCGCACTATGGGTTAGTTCCGGTAATTTAGTAGAACAAAAGTAAAACTAGAGATAGTGAATATCTTTATGGAAAATTACATAAAACGTATGTTACTTGATATATGGACAGAGTAATTACATTAATTATACTAAATGATGGGCCAAATATCCAAATTGGTTGGAAGGGCATATAGTAATTTTAACTGGTATTTTCATTGATAAAACTTTGACGTGTTTT